CTGCCGGCCACGGTCTCGGCAACCCCGTACTGCAGTAATCCTGTTAACGCTACACGCTCAGGTCCACAAAAATACACCCGTCCGCGCTGGATTGCTTCGTTAGGCAAACAGGCGAGTGCTAGGTGCGGTATGACCAAACACAGCCTCTCCTACCGATGGCGATGTATTTTTCTCAGCACTTAGGCTCTTACATGATGAAAATGGACAGACAAAACCCACTGTTTAAACAACATTAAAGACTGTGGCACAAATCAACAAAAGCCAGGAAACTCAAAGCTGACCTTTACCCAGACGGTTATGTTTTTTTCCACCGCGGTGTGAGTGTACTGCCTTAACTTTGAGTTTCCTGGCTTTTATTGCCTGGTGTTACCAATCCGAACAGTTGTTCCGGGCAGGGTTGGTTTTTGTCTGGGAGCGTACCCTGACAGTAGGAGACCTTGGCATCAGGAACAAACTGTGATGCAGCGTTAAACAAAGACACACTGCATGGGTTAGAGCTCTTTTTTGGGGGTGGCGAGGCTACACGGGGAGACGCGCCTCCGTAAAACGCCCTTTTTCCCAGGTGAATGAAGCTCGGCGTAGCTAGCTAGATGTTCGTGTCCGCCCGCGCGCGCTCCAGGGGCAGGGTTTGCCTCCAGCCCGCGGAGGCCGGCCTGGGAAGCGCCGCTGCCTTTGAGAATAAATGAAAACTGCAGCTGGTGTTGACTTCAACTCTACAATACATATCAAGCGGAAGAACATACCATGTTCAAAATTTCCAGCAGGCACTAACTTGACCTTGCCTGAATTAGGATTTATTCCCAGGCAACTGGTAACAGCCATCCTATCATCAGGAGAAGATGAGTACACAGACGTGCTGTACAGCAATAAAATATTGCCGGTTGTCTTTTAAAATGCAGTGAATTACACGGATATATTTTTTCATTTTTCCCTAGACATGGAGACGACCTGATCGTCACACCTTTTGCACAGGTAAGTTTGAAGTCTGTTGCCTCACATTAACACAGACTTCGAGAGCCTTAGGTGCAGTCATATAAAATCTCTGTTTTTGTTTACTGTAGGTCCTGGCAAGTTTACGAAGTGTGAGAAACAACTTTACATTGCTTACCAATTTGCACGGCACATCGAACAAGTAAGTTACCCCTCTGCTTTTCGTTGCATTGACCCTTGAACACAATATACCCCCAGCGGGCCAGTTTTGGCCCGAATTCCCTCGAGCGCCGTTTCTGCAGGCCTTGGTTGCCCTTGATAACTGCTGCGCTCTGGTCCCGGACCTGCGGTGGAAATGCGTGTGCGGAGACCCCAGGCTCCTGGGGACGGGCGCCGTGCCGCGGCGCGTCGGCATCGCTGCGGACGCAGCTCGAAGCCCACTCAGATAGCTGCGGAGGCGCTGCTTCCTCCTGCGCGTGGTTAGCATGTGAGTGTATGTGTGCATGAGTGTGTGCATGAGTGTAAGTGCATGTGAGTGCGTGTGTGCATGTGAGTGTATGTGTGCATGAGTGTGTGCATGAGTGTAAGTGCATGTGAGTGCGTGTGTGCATGTGAGTGTATGTGTGCATGAGTGTGTGCATGAGTGTAAGTGCATGTGAGTGCGTGTGTGCATGTGAGTGTATGTGTGCATGAGTGTGTGCATGAGTGTAAGTGCATGTGAGTGCGTGTGTGCATGTGAGTGTATGTGTGCATGAGTGTGTGCATGAGTGTAAGTGCATGTGAGTGCGTGTGTGCATGTGAGTGTATGTGTGCATGAGTGTGTGCATGAGTGTAAGTGCATGTGAGTGCGTGTGTGCATGTGAGTGTATGTGTGCATGAGTGTGTGCATGAGTGTAAGTGCATGTGAGTGCGTGTGTGCATGTGAGTGTATGTGTGCATGAGTGTGTGCATGAGTGTAAGTGCATGTGAGTGCGTGTGTGCATGTGAGTGTATGTGTGCATGAGTGTGTGCATGAGTGTAAGTGCATGTGAGTGCGTGTGTGCATGTGAGTGTATGTGTGCATGAGTGTGTGCATGAGTGTAAGTGCATGTGAGTGCGTGTGTGCATGTGAGTGTATGTGTGCATGAGTGTGTGCATGAGTGTAAGTGCATGTGAGTGCGTGTGTGCATGTGAGTGTATGTGTGCATGAGTGTGTGCATGAGTGTAAGTGCATGTGAGTGCGTGTGTGCATGTGAGTGTATGTGTGCATGAGTGTGTGCATGAGTGTAAGTGCATGTGAGTGCGTGTGTGCATGTGAGTGTATGTGTGCATGAGTGTGTGCATGAGTGTAAGTGCATGTGAGTGCGTGTGTGCATGTGAGTGTATGTGTGCATGAGTGTGTGCATGAGTGTAAGTGCATGTGAGTGCGTGTGTGCATGTGAGTGTATGTGTGCATGAGTGTGTGCATGAGTGTAAGTGCATGTGAGTGCGTGTGTGCATGTGAGTGTATGTGTGCATGAGTGTGTGCATGAGTGTAAGTGCATGTGAGTGCGTGTGTGCATGTGAGTGTATGTGTGCATGAGTGTGTGCATGAGTGTAAGTGCATGTGAGTGCGTGTGTGCATGTGAGTGTATGTGTGCATGAGTGTGTGCATGAGTGTAAGTGCATGTGAGTGCGTGTGTGCATGTGAGTGTATGTGTGCATGAGTGTGTGCATGAGTGTAAGTGCATGTGAGTGCGTGTGTGCATGAGTGTGTGCATGAGTGTAAGTGCATGTGAGTGCGTGTGTGCATGTGAGTGTATGTGTGCATGAGTGTGTGCATGAGTGTAAGTGCATGTGAGTGCGTGTGTGCATGAGTGTGTGCATGAGTGTAAGTGCATGTGAGTGCGTGTGTGCATGTGAGTGTATGTGTGCATGAGTGAGTGCATGAGTGTGAGTGCGTGTGAGTGCGTGAGTGTGTGCATGAGTGCATGTGTGTGCATATGAGTGTGTGTACATGTGAGTAAGAGTGTGGGAGTGCACGTGTGTTTGTGCGTGTGCGTGAGTGTGTGTCAGCATGTGTGTGCATGAGTTTGAATGCATGGGTGCGAGTGCATGTGTGCAAGTGTGTGTGCGTGCATGTGTGTGTGCACACACGTGTGTGCGCGTGTGTGTGCATGCACATGTGTGCATGTGTGCTCAGGTATGTCAGTGCGCGTGCGCACGCGTGTGAGTGTATGTCAGTGTACACGAGTGCGTGAGGCCGCTGCTGTAGGGATGTGTGTGTGTGCGTGTGTGTGTGCATGCACATGTGTGCATGTGTGCTCAGGTATGTCAGTGCGCGTGCGCACGCGTGTGAGTGTATGTCAGTGTACACGAGTGCGTGAGGCCGCTGCTGTAGGGATGTGTGTGTGTGCGTGTGTGTGTGCATGCACAGCCCAAGGCTCAGTGTGCACCCAGGGCCGCCCGGCCGGCGGGTGCTCAGGGGGCTCTGCCCGTGCCCCACCGTGTCCCCGCGCGCCCCGGCGGGTGGCGCCGCC